CATTTGTTTATTCTTTCTTTTATGTCCCTTTCACTGGGGGACATATCAGTAAAAATGGTGCTGCATGAAATAGCTGACGTTTTCCTGCCAATGTTCTCCTCTAGGACTCTAATGGTGTCACAACTTATATTTGAATGTTTTATCGACCTTGAATTAATTTTTGTGTATGGTGTGATTTGATTCTTGAGTTTCATTATTTTTGTGCATGTAGCTGTCCATCTCTGCCAACACCATTTATTGAAGAGGCTATTTTTACTGTATTTTATGTTGCTGCCCCCTTTTACAAATATTAATTGTCCATAGAGACTTGGGTTTATTTTGGGGCTCTCTAGTCTGTTCCATTGGTCTAGCTAGACTTCTTTTGTTTGGGAAGCTTCTTATTTGACCTTCCATCTTGATTAAGAGCCTTACTGGGCAAAGTAGTCTTGGTTGCAGGCCTCTGGTTCTCATTTTTTGTAATATTTCTTGCTATTCTTTTATTGCTTGGAGCGTTTCCATGAAGCATTTCCTTGTATATTACTTCCTCTTTCTTCCTTGATGCCTTTGAGATCCTCTCTTTGTCTTGGAATTTTACCATTTTAATTATAATTTGTCTTGAAGTGGGTCTCTTTGGGTTCCTGTTGATTGGGACTCTGTGTTTCCTAGATTTGTGTGTCATTTTCCCTCATCCAATTAGGGAACTGTTCCATTATTACTTTTTCAAAGAGGGTTTCTATCCCTTGCTGTTATTCTTCTTTATTGTCCTGTATGCCCGTAATTCTTCTTCATTCTTTCTGAGGCTCTTTTCCTTTTCTTGCTCTTTCTGGGTTTTTTTTTTTTCTCTGTCATCCAGCTCAGTGATCCCATCTTTTGCTTCAGTGATCCTGCTTTTGATTCCTTCTATTGTGTTGTTCAGTTTGGAAGTTGTATTCTTCATTTCCTCTTGGCCCTTGTTGATACTTTCCATTTCCTTTTTCATGTTGATGTAGTTTTTAGTCAGCTCATTTTACTTTCCTTGTGGTTTCTGGTAATTCTCTGTAAACTCATTGAGCTTTTTAGATAATGATTGCTTTGAACTCAATATCTGATAGCTGCCTTGCCTCTATTTCATTTAGCATTCTTCCTGAGGCTTCCTCCTTTCCTTTCATTTGGGGATTGTTTCTTTGTCTTCCCACTGTTTGTGAGACTCTTCTTGTTAGCCTCAGCTTCTTAAATTGATTCATTCTGACTCCATGGGTTTCAGGTGTGAATGTCTATGGTAAAATACCCGTGAGATTCAGTGGTGCCATCTCCTTGATCTCCCAAGCTCACTGACCTTGGGCTGTTGTTTATGTTGGTCTTGTACTTGTCTTTAGGTCTCTTTGGGCTCTCTTGCATGGGTCCTTCCCACCAACTGGTTAACTAAAGGTCCCTCTGTCCACCACCTCTTGTATTTTGTTGTGCAGGCGAGGACAGGTTGTTTCGAAGTTGTTTTTCTCCATGTGTACAACACTTCAAGGGTTCTCTCTTGTTCTTGTTCAGTTGTTTGTTCTGGGTAACTTCTCCATTGTTTAGTTGTATTTCCGGATATGTCCTGGATCGAGGTTACTGTGGCTTCCACTCCCTCCTTCACCTTCTCCGATCATTCTCTGTTGCTGGTTCCTTTGTTCTTGGGTTTCCTCTTCCAGCAGGTATCCTGGTGTTTACAGCTTCTACCTACTCTCACATCCTGGAACCTGTACCCCAGTCTTGTTTTCACCAACCTTATGGCTGTACAATTATCAGCAAGGTAGGGGTTGGTGGACTGGCTGGTTTCCTGTTCACATGCAGAAAAACTGAGAGAAACAACTGAGGATTGAGACTGACTGCACAACCCACAGTCCCAGTTTGAGCAGAAAAAGCCTCAAACCTCTGATTGAAAATACCTCTAGGGGTTGAGGCAGAACCATCCTGTGAGGAGTGGGAGAAACTCTCAGTCTCACAGGAGAGTTCCCTGGAAAGGTCCATAGGTTCCTAGAACATACACAGGCACACCCACCTTGAATCAGCATCAGAAAGGTCCACTTAGCTTGTGTGTAGCGGGGAAAGTCTCATTTTTTATATAGCACATATTTTAAGATATCTATGGCATATTTAAAAAAAATTGAAAATGGTCAAAACACAGAAAACGAGTAACACAAACATTGCAAAAAGTAATGCTTATATTTTCTTCCAGTAAGTGAGTTGTATTAGTCTTCTTCTGTTACTACTGGAAGATTCTTCAAGGGTCTTTTATAATATACATATATCTCAGTTGGGTGGCTAAGCGAAGACAGTTACCATTGGAATGTCTCATACCTCTGGCAGGATGAAGGACTCAGCCATATATGAGGAAGGTATTAGGGGCGAAAATTTTTTTTTTAAATTTCTGATTTGGATTTCAGTCATGGTGCTAAAAAGGTTTGCAAAAACCATTCATCTGTTTATGTCACTTAGAGGTAATGCTAATGCTACCTAAATTCTGTGTAATCTCTTTAGTCTGTAGACAGAAAACCATTAAAGGAAAGCAAGCCAGCAAACAATCTTTTCAAAGTGGTAGCAGATGGAGTTTGCCACTATTTCAAGAAACAGAGGAGGCACAAGAAGCCTGCAGAGTAGAAGAGGAGCAAGTGGCAGAGCCAGAGAGCATCCCTCAGGTGGAGTACACTTAGGTAATATTTTAAATTACAAGGATGCCACCATAGGAGTTAGTGGAGGAGGAGTATAGCAAAACTATACATTAGTGTGGGTAGAAATATCCCAATTTATATTTAAACCTTTTGGAGCAAAATATAATGTAAGCTTCTTGAGACTGAATATTAACTTTGACAATGAAAAATACTTTACAAGTACTAAAACTTCTAATACTTTTGAGTAAAAGTGACAGAAATAGTTCCTGTGCAAAACATCTCAACCACCTTGCAGTAAAACAATGCAAACTTTGAGCTAATTTAATGCATTTTACCATTGTTAGTTGTTGCCTCTATCCCCTTGAACTGCTTTCTACAGAACTCATGTCTGGTGACCATATATATATCAGAGCCTTCCACTTTGGTTCCTAGAACTTCGTGAGGTAAAAAGTGGTGGTTCATACATAATGATGTATCCAATATCCATCTGTGTATTTATTCTGAAACAAAGCTCACTTTGTCATACAAAATCAGTTCATCTTGAAACAGACCCAACACAATAAAACTCACTCAGAATACACACAATTCTGGGACAGATACCTGACATTTTAGGACTGGCCATGAAATGCTTGTTCTCTGTATGGACATGTGCAAACAACTCTTGGGCTGATTACTTAGTATGTGGCTTTTCCACCTGCACTTGGTGTAAGAAACTTTGTAGTTTGGAATGTACTTAAGGGAAATATGTACAACTTTATACAGTTTCCCATGGGTACCCCTGACCCAGGAAAAGACAAGAAAATGTCTGCTTTGAAAGGTGTGTGCCTGTGTTCTCTGTGGTATGCATTAGGGGGGAATGTATTGCTGATCAAGATATTGATGAAGTAGCCCTGGCTGATGTGGCTCAGTGGAGTGTGCACTGAGCTGCAAAGCAAATGGTTGATGGTTCGCATCCCAGTCTCGGGCACAGGCCAGGTTCCGTTTGGGAGCCAAACCAGAGGCAGCCACACATTGGTGTTCCTCTCCCACTCTTCCTCACTCCCTTCCCCTCTCCAAAAGTAAATAAATAAAACCTTAAAAAAAAGATATTCATGAAGTATTTGGAGGGAAGTTTTCTGCTTTTTACCCCGTATGAAAAGAAGACACCTTTCCTTTCACAAGAATCCATGTATCTGACAAATTTTGTTTCATGTGCCCAACCAGCCCTCCCATGTCAAAGAGACAGCTTCTCCAATTGACAACTACATGTGTGATTGTTTAGAAAGTGTTTCCTAATGTGGAGCTGCATGGTTTGTCTCACCTCAAGGTAAACAGCATTGCTTTCTCTTGCCTCATGGGCAAGTTGAGAAAAGTTTATCCATCTCTATCCTTCCTCAAAGGTGCAATTCAATTTTTTCTAGTTATGACGTTACTGTGGAAGTGGAATATAGACATTTTCCTCATTTGCAAATCTAAAGACTTATGTAATTATTTGATGTGCATCTCTTAGACACTATTATATTGACCAGAGCACAGAGTTTTAATTGATATCAGGATCATTTTGCCAATGAATTTTAAGAACTTCATGTTCCTTTACTTGTAGGTAATGCCTTCTTCTGATGTCTCTTTCTGTGACAATGTTAATATGTTTATACTTCTGATGTTACAGAATTCAAAGCTTTTTGACACCCAGCTACAGAAAGTATCATGTGTTATATTCCCCATATGTTTACAAATGGTTTCTCCATTAATTTATGTAGCAATATCAGCACACCCTCTATTCCTCCCAAAACTGTTTCTCTCCCAACCACGCAAATGCTGTTTCCAATGTCCCTGGGCCTTACAAACGTGCTTTCACAATAAGCCTGTCAACTCTCCTGCAGTCATACAAAGAGGCAGTTTAACAGTTTAGACTAATATGAGTGCTTAAGATAATACTACTGTATACTACAGATGTCCAAAGCATAAGCAAATCTTGACCACTTAGGAAACGTTTATTCTACTTAACCAAGCCTTGCTGTTGAAGCACTGATGATAGTGGCTATGATCTTAATCTGAACATAGTTACTTCCAGAGGAGCCGGTCCACTTCAAAGGGGATTTTGTCAAGTCCCCGCCCACACCCAGGCACAACACACAGAAGCTCCCCTGCTCCCCCTCCTGCCTGCAAAGGACCTGTGGGGGCAGTAAAGCAACAGCTCACTGCGCCAGAGACCAGGAGCGCTTGTACCTTTACATGAAAACAGAGCCTGCTGCGAGGGAAAGACACTGAGAAAGCCTGACAAAATGAAGGTGTGCATTGCCACTCACTCCCTATGCACAGGGGAGAGTGGACCCCGGCTCTACTTATGCTCAGGCAAGAGGTGTACTCTGCCCGACAATTTCTGAATCCCTACCTTGTTCCCCTCCGGTTCAGGGAAGTCTGGCCTGGAGACTGCCCTCAGGGGCCACCACTCCAGGCCCGCCCAGAGCAGCGCCCAGCTGCAGGGGCTGTGGTGGTGAGGAGGCCAAGGACCCGTATGTCAGAGGCTGGCTGGAAGCCTCAGAGGAAGTAGAGAAGCCAGTGGCTGCACATGACGCAACAGCAGGTGCAGTAAACCCCAGGCCCTGAGGGAAAATGGTGAAGGAATCTACCGCGCAGACTGAAACTGGCTTCCCGGTGGCTTCCCTGAAGTCATTTTAAGGAAATCTGCAGCTGTGCTCCCACTTAGGGTCCCACAGTGCCAGTGCACCCAAAATATGTCCCCTGTGCTATGCCCTGCACTTTCTGCCCTTCATTCGTGTTTCAGTGCAAAGCTAAAAAGCAGTAACTCAGGCAAAGGACAGAGGACTCAGAAGACAGATCTGGTACTGAAAAACACCTAGGGAGTCAAGCACTGCTATGGCTATGGCTATGGCTATAGCTATCGCCTGAAACCTGGTCCCTAGCCATCCCTGTTCACTGCACAGTGGACATTTTGCCAAAGCACACCCAATCACAGGAAATAACAGGTTCCATTGTCAAAAGCCTCTGAAACCATACTCTGAGTCCTCCACCTAGGCAGGGAGGAGTGCCCCATGGAGCAAGGGGCCAAGAAAGGGAGCAGGGCCTCTGCCTGGGTGTGCACAGTTGCCTTCCGTGCCCCCATTTCTTTCCTCTGACTTCCTCCCTTCTCTCCATCTCTGTTCCCTCCCAGCCAGGCTCTCCAGGGAGCAACAGCAGGACAGAGAATGAAATAAAGAGGGACCCATGCTTAGTAAATGAATGGCCGTCCTCCTCAGGGATGCACACCCATTTACCAGAAGGCAAGGAGTCGGGATTTTCTCTCCCCGAATCAGCCTCTGCTGTGCAGGCCCTACATCCCTGGGCCTCTTAACAGGGCCCAGTTCTTCACATACAGCTAGTTCTAATGGTCTGATCAATGACTCTCCTGATCATGATAACCTTTGTTTAACATAACTGAATCTATGGCATTTCCTGTACTTTTCCTAGTTGCCTCTGTACTGATTTTTTCTGCTCACCTGATAGTGCCATGCACCTGTTCTTTTAATGTCATATGACATCCTCTATACAAATAAAGACTGATATAGTTCTAAGAAGTCTCCTGCTGGTTAAGGTAGCTGTGTGGGTAGGCATGGCTCTCTCTCTCAGGGCCCTTGGAGGATGGATAAGTTCGGAGGCAAGGCCTTGGAATGTTTGCTAGAGTCTGCCACTCCTTGAAGCATTACAGTAGTCTGAGACAGGGCTGCTTCCCAGGACTGCCTTTGTGCACCTACACTGGAGTTCTGGTGCAAGGGAGGACTGGGAGACACTGGGAAAATTCAGAAGAGTATCATTTTGTGCGTGATGTTTTCTGATGACTCCTCTAAGAAATACTTCCATCCCTTGCTTGCTCAACATTCCCACTCAAATGAAATTTAACTTGTTTCCCATGGTTATGTTCTTAAATGTTTACCCACCAACAGTCATCTTCCTCTTTTGTCATTATGATGGGATTTTTTAAGGATCACAAGCTCTCAGCCATGAGATCTTAACTCAGTGAGGTATATACTCAGGAAAATACCTCACTTTCTCCACCCCCTCCCAGATATATGTTCAACATATAGTCCCTGGGTTTTCTTTTTGTGTTGTTTTGCTTTGATTTTATTTATGTACTTATTTTTTACTTCCTTTTTGTTCAGTTACAGCCATGGGTTCTCAATGAGTCAGAGTCCCATGGTTAACACCCACCCACATGTTAAGTAGGAAAATAAAGGCATTAATTTTGTTAGATTGTAAGGGGACTAGATGGTGTTTTTGTTCACGAAATCCAGGAATACCAGCTAAACCTTGAATATTGGGAAGGAAGCGGCCATGCAGAAATCTGTGGAGAATACCCTGGTCCCAAGGACAGCAAATGAGGCCTTGAGGTGGGAAGTGGAAACCAGCCACCCATGTGACTGTTTGCATTGCTTGGCCCATGTGTGGTAGTAGGCTTGGTGGAATTTATGACTTCACCTTCCTTTACAAAGGTATGAGCAAAAAGACAGCTCTTTTTGGCTGGTGTGACTTGGTGGAATGGGTGTCAGCCAATGAATGTGAGGTTTGCTGGTTCTTCTCCCAGCCAGGGCCCCTGCTCTGGTGGTGGGCCAGGTCCCCAACAGTTTTAGTGGGTACCTGAGAATCAAACAAACAGCCATATTTCTGTCTCTTTCTTCCTTCACTCCCCTCCCTCTAAAAATAAATGAATACAATCTCCAAAAGAACACCAAACAACCAACGTACTGTATGTAGACCAATTGCCGTGACCCAGGTTTTGACTCCAATTAGGAATAAACCACCATGAGCTTATGGGGAAATTAAGAAATAGAAGTACTCATTATAAGTAAAATGCTAATTGTATAACTTATACGTTAGGGGTTTCATCCTCTATTATTTCTTTACTTAATCTTTTTCTCTCTTACCGACTTCAGAGAGAGAGAGGAAGTGGAGAGAGAGAGGGAAAGAAAGAAACAACAATTTGTTGTTCTAGCCATTTATGCACAAATCACTTGGTATTGGGGTGTGCCTGGACCAGTGATAGACCCCATAACCTTGGCCTATTTTAATGACACTATAATTGTAAGCAATGAGGTAAATAATTGTAAACAGTTCCCCTTGAACTGTTTTCTACAGAACTCATCTCTGGTGACCATACATTAGAGCCTTCCACTGTGGGGCCTTGAACTTCATGGAGTAAAAAGTGGTGGATCATACATAATGATGTATCCAATATCCATTTGTGTATTTATTCTGAAACAAAGCTCATTTTATCATACAAAATCAGGGCATCTTGAAACAGACCCAACACAATAAAACTCACTCAGAATAGACACAATCCTTGGACTGATACCTGACATTTTGGGACGGAACTTCAAATGCTTGTTCTTTGTATGAACATGTGCAAAAACACCTAGGTCTGATTACTTAGATGTGGCTTTTCTACCTGCATTTGGTGTAAAAAATTTTGTATTTTGGAATGTACTTCAGGGAAATATGTAGAACGTTATATAGGTTCCCAAGGGTGCTCCTGAACTGGCAACAGACCAAAAAAACTCTGCTTAGCAATGGGTGAATTTGTTCTCTTTGGTTTGTGCACAGGAAATGTACACTGATCAAGATTTTCCTGAAATAGCCCTGGCTGATGTGGCTGAGTGGACTGTGTGCTGGGCTGCAAACCAAATGGTCAGCAGTTTGATTCCCAGGTAGGGCACATGCCTGATTTGTAGGCCAGGTCCCCATTGGGGGCCTGTCCCTGTCTTTCTCATTCCCTCCCCCTCTTCAGAAGTAAGTCAATAAAAGCTATTCAAAAACATATCCGTGAAGTGTTTTGGGGAAGTTTATTTGTCTTCACTAAGTATGAAAGGGAGGCACCTTTGATTTAAAACAAAATCCATGTACCTGAGAAATTTGGTTTCACGCGCCCAACCAGCACCCACAAATCAAAGAGTTAGCGTGTCTAACTGTCAGCTTTGTGTGGACACAAAGCCCAGGGCATGCTTTGTGCTCACATAAGGCAGGGCCACCATGCCTGAAGTGGAACTGCTCAAATGTGGGCAGCAGTCCTGCTTGTTGCACAGCCCCCTGGGCCACTCACTCACAGTGCTAAGGTGCTGTGGGAGTTCTCACCTCCTTGTACTTACTCTTTGTGCACAGGGTCCACCTGCTGCCCTGTTCACCTTTCTGACCCTCCTCCTGGCAGTCTGGAGAACCTCTGGCTCTTCTGCGCCCCAGCTCAGGCTTACTTTTCTCAGGGGTCTTTCTTGATGATACAACTCACATAGGAACGCCTGCCCCTTAAGCTCCTCCAAAACATATCCTGCCCATGGACCCCTCCACTGGGGCCTTCCTGCCCTTGGCTCAATACCTGAGGGGATTAGCCACAGGTCCTCACCTTGGAGCTGAGGTGAATTCAAGCAAGGAATAGCGGTCCCAGGCAGCTTGTACAAACCCAAAGCCCCAAGCAGCAGCCTTTCTCACCAGAGCCAGTACAGCCTGGCCTCAGCAATCTTGCCCGACATTGCCTCCAGCCTTGGCTCCCTGAGCACCAGAGGCCCCCTCCTCCAGGCAAAGACCTACCTGCCACATTCTTCCTGCTCTCAGTGCTGCTACCCTGAGGCTCTAACTAAGCCAGGGGCTCCCTCAACAAAGCCCATCATGCTACTGGTGAGGTGAAACACCACACAGCATGCTTTAGATGCCCTGCTGGAGGAAGATGCAGTGGGCCTCCCTTGAAAGGGCTCAATGGAATGACCGACATTCCCTCATGTGGCCTCAACTCCACGCCTGCTGCTGCCACGCTTGCACTCCCTGCAGTCAAGAGACTGTCCCCAGACATCAAGATTTGGTCCGGTGCCAACGCCTGGTGCACGTGGTCCAGTCCCAGTCCCAAGTCTACACTGCACAGCTCCTGAGCCCTCACCTCCACAGCAACACCTTCCTGTGCCAAGGCCAACAGGGAGTCACAAGCATCCTGTTCAGCGCCACCAGCCTCAGCTTCCACCATCCAATCGCCCCCTTTGGCGCCCTCTGTATTCTCCAAGCCTTCCTCCCAACCCCGCCTGATCCAAGGAAAAGGACCCAGGAGGCCTGTGCAGCAGCCCTGCTGGCAACTAACCCTGGCTGGCTTCAGAAGTGGCCCTGACCCAGTTCACAGACAAGCTCACAAAATGCCCACCAACGCAGTGGCCACTGTCAGGGGAGCCCTGAGAACCACACCCAGATCTTCCAGACAGGGTTTCTGAGCCAACCGTGAAGCTGAGGACTAAGGCACATGTGCGCAGCCTTTCAGGCCCCCTGGGTGCTCTGACCCCTCCACCAACCACTCTGCCCTCAGCCAAGTTCCGCATGCTCTGCACGCACATCCTGACTGCCACAAGTCTCCTCCAATCAGTGAGGTGGCCATGGGCGCCTACTTCCTGGGCCCCACCTGTCAGCGCCTGGCAGGAGTTCCCTTCCTCCTGGTGCTGCCTCAGGTGCCCGTGAAGCCAAGCCCATTCTCAGAGCCCCATCTGGGGTTTCTACAAAATTGCCCCTACCCCACACGCGCACAGGGTCGGCCCACTTCTCACCACCATCAAGGGAAACTCCGTGCCACTTTCTCACTCCCTAGC